CACAGACAGACTAAACAAGCCCTTGACACCAGCTCGCCCAGCTCCAAAGTGATGGAGCAGAAGCCCCAGAGAGAAAAATAAACACCGCTTAAATCTCCCCAGACCCCCCCTTTTTAAAATGTATTTAGTACAGGGTCTACAGGGTCTCACTAAACAGATCAGATTCATAATGATCCTCTGTGTTCAGCCTCCCAAGCGCTGGGATTACAGGCGTGCACCACCATGCCCAGTCTCAATCGCTGTTTTGGTGTGCCCTGGGGACGGGGCCAGCACGGCACGCAGGGGATCAAACCCCCAGTCCCTGCATCTGCCTAAGCAGATGCTTTAATCCACTCAGCTATCTGGTCGGTCCTTCCCCAGACTGTTTTATTAACTGGTTATTCTTTCTCTGACAAAAATTTTAAAATTATCAATGAAAAAGATATATTGGGTTAAAAATAGAAACTGTAAAAGAAAAAATTTAAAAGGCTTCAGACACAAGTGTGGGTGGCAGCTGGGTAAGGCAGCTACAGGTGCACAGTAACAGCGGCGCTACACTGCTGCTCTGGAGGGACACAAAGGGCCATCTCACGAGGAGCAGCTCTCTTTCTCCATTACAACTGACAATAACAGAGGAGCTTTGTACCTTTTAATATTTTCCTGAAGGTGATTAATTAAAAAAGATGATTCCATCCTCAAAATAAAAACACGTTGCCTTTAGTTTAAAAAATCATATTTCCTAAGATTTATAATAATGGTGATATTTAAAAAGTTTACATTTGGCACCACATACCATGCTGCCCACCCCTGGGCACACTGAGCCAGTGACCGAGTCCAGGCACGGTGATGCACGCCTCCAATCCCAGCACTGGGGAGGCTGAACACAGTGTGATCACTTTGGATTCAAGCTGCAGAGTGAGACCCTCCCTGCAAAAATAAATGAATAAATGAATAACCTAAATTTTTTTTAAAGTTTACATAAAGATCTTTTAATTTCTAATAAGGTTGACTGCTTATCTTACAATCTTAAAATTGTTATAGAAAGCTTTGTTATTTTACAGACAAATATAAAAGTTTAGAGTGCAATCAAAAAGCAGTGGGGCTTGAGCAGTCGCTTCATTTTGACATCTCATTCAAATGGTGGCAGACACAGTGGTGGCCTTCACAGGCCCACAGGCCACAATAACTTTACATCTGGGTCAACTTATCCCACACAGGTATATTGTGCCTCAAACTGTTCAGATCAACCCAAAATGACTTTCAGACTTTATTTGGTAGTATTAATTGGTTCCATCCAGATTTCTGGACGATTGTGCTGGCGTTATTAGTTATTATTATCCTTCAGGTAAGGTAAATCAATTCATTTGCTCTCACAGATGGATCATGTTAGGTTAAGGGAGGACACGTGACGGCTTCTTGTTCCACAATACAAGGTACAGGCTTCTCATTGCACAATCAAAATCCAAGCACAGAAGCTACAGGGGGAATCGCTTCTTCCCACTCGTCAATACACGGTATTAAATTTTAAAAATTTTACAAAAGATGGAAGTATAGCAACAGAAAGATCATTCAGGGCCGGGGAGATGGCTCAGTGGAATAAGCACTTCCCTGGCAAGTGCAAGGGTCTGAGTTCAATCTCCGGTTCCGAAGGAAAAAAAAAAATTCAATCAGGTAAAGGAAAAAAAAAAACTAATTTGGGGTCGAGCATATGTTTGTGTTTTACCACAACATGCTGTCAGGCTATACCATAAAGCCAGATCTGGAGAGAATGCTGATGGCCATGAAGCTTGACTTGACCTGGGCCTACTGAAGAAACTGACAAAATTTAAATCTAAGGTCTAAATAGGTGATAAAATAAATAGAGATACCCAAACTGAAGTTACCTTAAAGTTATTCTTACGACAAAATAAAATATAAAATGTGCATATTAATTATAGATAAAAGATTCTATTCTAAATTTTTTCTTATAAGAGATCTCTGTTAATTGAACAAAATCTGACTAGTCTATTTATAATTTCTAAAATTGTAATGGTTACTATAATTCATTTTGATCAAAAATATATTTCAGTGCATTTTGTAAAGATAAGTGATTTTTGTTTGTTCTGTATAATCATTATTGTCTATTTGTATGTCATTCTGGAATACTTGTTCCTCTTTTTATTTGAGCTCAACCACTTTTCTCATTTACCATTTGTTCAAATATAATTTGAGTTATAAACTTAAACACATGCATTGTCCTGAGTATCAGCTGGCATAAAGTGATATCAAAGTTGACTTACAAGTTATCAAAAATTTAAGATAATTAACTAAAATTTCTTAGAGTGAGTAGAGATTATTTGACCAGACTCCAACTGGTGAATAAAGGGGTAGCCAATGTCTGTTCATTAAAAACAGCCCCCAGTAATCTCTATAGTCTCTTGAGAGAAATCCCAATAATTTGATCATTGGTCAAAAGATAAAGCTCTTCAACATTTATAGTAAGGTTTTCTCATAAAAGATGTTCTTGGTACAAAACTAAATTACGAAGCAAAGGTTTTCACATGTGCATGGTAATTCATTATTGTTAATCTCATGCTACATTAAATGTATTCATGATTTCAGGTGTACAGTCTTTCAAAATGTAAAACAAGGATTGCTTATCATGATAAAACTTTTCTTTCTGATTCAGACCTCTGCCTTTAACCAAAATCTTGCAATATACAGCCCATTAAAGGACAACTAATTAGGTTAAAGCTTCTTGTGCAGTAGATAGAGATGACAGATTAAAAGAATTATGTTATGTCAAAAGAAAAATTAGGTGTGTTAAAAATGTCACGATTGTCATACTGCAATGTTATATATGGTTTTGATTTCTACATTTCTGTGTAAAAAGATATTGTCTGTTAACATTCTATAAGGATTTAAATATTAGGATATCCACAGTTGTTAGAAAATAATGGTTCCATTTTATGTTCTAATGTGTTTTCTATTCAGATAAATAATAACATTAAACTTACTGCTTCCCTTACAATGTAATGTTATTAAGCTTCTCCTCTGGATGTTTAACAACTGAGGTTTGCAGACCAAACCTTTTTTAGATTGGGCTTTAAAAGCCAATATTTTGGCCCTAGCCCTCTGTTATGGTTTGTGTCTAGTGGTCCCCCCCCAAAGCCTCATGCAGTAATTGGGACAGCTTCTAGAGTTCGTGATTAATTCACGATCCATTGCTGGGACTATGGGTATAAGTGCTTCTGGGATTATGGGTGTGAGTGTTACATGAGCCCTGGGGCAGACAGCCTGGATGAAGTGTAAGGAAGGGGGAGAGGCTTGCTGTTTGCTTCTGCTGCTGCAGTGGCTGCCTCTGCTGCTGCCGTTTTTTGCTCTTGCTCTTTGCTGTTTTCTGCCACTGTGGACTGCTGCCCTCTGCCCTATGCCACTTTTCCTTAGAGCCAGCCGAGTATGGACTGAAACCTCCATGAAGTGTGAGCTAAATAAACCTTTCTTCCTTCGTTTTGGGTGTATTTTGTCCCAGCAATGAAAGAAAAGTAACTGAGACACTCTCTAAGACCATTGAGGACTCAGGACATAAAAATCCCTCTGCTATGACATCCTATAACTCAGTTGAGACCCTGATCTTCTGATGAAGGAGATTATGGGACCACAGGGAAAAAAAAGTGATCAGTGATGTATCATGTTCCTAAGGAGAATCATCTGGAGAGGAAAAAAATCTCTCAAGCTTTCACAGAAACCAAGTTGGTGAAGCAATGGCCATAACTCATCCAGGTGTCTCACACTGACAGAAGATCTAAGAGGTGATATGCCTGATTCCAAGGTAAATTCTGAGGAGACTTAACTGACATTGATAGATAACAAAAAGTTAATTTTTATTAATACAGGTTTCACTTTAACTTGGTCTTAACCATCTAGCAGAAAAGAATAACCACAAAATGTAAAATACAATGCCATAGTAATATGCTGTTAAAAATTTCAAAGCACTAACAACTTCTGCAATTGTCAACTGTATGGGCAACTCACTACTGTTATGGACTGTTTGGGATTAAAGTACTAAAAACAGGTATCTAAAATCTTTGGACTAAAAATCTTTAGCCTAAACAAATTCATCAAAAAAAAAAAAAAAAAAAAAA